GACCCGATCCTGACCTATGGCATCGTGGACACTATGATCCAGAGGCAGAGAGGAAAAGGAGAGCGAGCCTGGGCCTGGGGATGTCGGCCTGGGATCGGATGATGGAGAGACGAGGCCCTAGGAAGAACTTCGGAGGGACTTGGATCATGATGGACTCCGAGGGCACTCACGTGATCTTCAATGAGCACGGATCGGATCGACCACCGCAGCCCTCGGTAACACAGGGAGCTGAAGGGGTAGAGGAAGGCACTACATCATCGGCATCGAAGGGGGCACCGGGCAATGGAGCTGGCCAGACGGAGGAGAAAGTCGAGACCGAAGGAGCAGCAGGCTCCAGGGGCGGGACGTCCGAGATGATGGCCTTCGGAAGTAAGGGAATCGGGATGAGGAGTGAGGCATTGAACTTCATCTCACCGGTCGGCGATGGCATCACACTCGGGAAGTGGACCCTATGGAACGAGGAGGTGTGGGATTTCCTGCAGGACGAGCTCTTTCAGCCGGGGTTCGTCACGGCGGCGCTACGAAGGAAGGTGGGAGTTCCACCAAAGAGGACTGCAGCGAAGGACACGTGGCTGACGATCGAGGACCTGCCTGACGGGGGGAAGGTGACGATCAGGGAACACGTCCAGGAGAGGAAGAAGATGTTCGACTTCGAGAACCCGCATCTCTGGGACGAGCGAGAGTGGCTGCCATGGAGGCTCACGATTGCTTGGGCGACCCTGAGGAAGGAGAAGTACATCATGGTCGACAGGAGGCAGGGGAAGAGAAGCTCCTATCTGCCCAACACGTGGGTCGGCTACACGCTCTTCAGGACGCCCAGACTTGAAGGGAAAGGGGGCTTGAGCTGAAGGTCAAAATGACCATTTTGAGCTGAGGCCAAAAGAGGCCGTCTTTTTGGAAGGCACCGAAATTGGCCATTGTGGCCAAGGGGGAGTGCCGGTGCACAAAACAAGAAGTGTACCTAGTTGAGGAGTGCGAGACACGCACAACCTTTGAGAAGTGTACCATGAAACCAGAGGCCATATGTAGCCCTTTGTTCGAGCGCGGTAAAAGAACCGCTTGGGATTTGGCGCATCCGACCCCTTGGCAAGCAGCAAAGTGCTGCGCCTGCCACGAAAT